ATGATCCAGCTATCCCATTACTGGGAATCTATCCAACGAACCTGAAATCAACAATCCAAAGAGGCTTATGCACCCCTATGTTCATTGCAGCATTATTCACTATAGCCAAGAAGTGGAAGCAACCTAAATGTTCTCAACTGATGATTCGATCGAGAAGATGTAGTTTATATATATACAATGGAATACTACTCAGCCATAAAAACGACAAAATCGTCCCATTTGGAACAACATGGATGGGCCTGGAGGGTATTATGTTAAGCAAAATAAGCCAGATAGAGAAAGACAAACACTGTATGATCTCACTCATATGTGGAACATAAACCAACACATGAACAGAGAAAACTGTACTGTGGTTACCAGGGGGAATGGGGGTGGGGGGTGGGCACAAGGGGTGAAGGGAGACATATATATGGTGATGGACAAACAAAGATGTACAACCCAAAATTTCACAATGTTATAAACTATTAAAGCATCAATAAAAAAAAAATGAGATTCCTTTTCCACATCCATGTAGAGATGTTAAATCTGCAGCTGAATGTAGACAGAGTCAGTTTATAAATGTGGTTATACTCAAGGGCACCACGTAGAGGTGACACTATTCACCTCATAAACATATCCTGTTTTTTATGAAAACACGCAGGTCGGCATGAAGGCTCCAGATCTCCAATTAGAGTTCTGAAGCAATAATGTGAACTCTCTTCCTGCTCTAGACATAAATCCACACTTACACGTCCTACAGCTGTGCACAGATGCAGGATAATATGTACACATACGCTCACTGGCATGTGCACATGTGGGCAGCTACACTCTTTTTGAACTGCCTCTCAGCTTCACTGAGGTTGATTCTCTTGCTCATCCACCCACTGCTCTCAGAGACTTAATTATAGTTTCCCACCTGACTCTGAACCTGACATAGTCACCTCTTTTGGAGAACGAAGGGTGGTGGTGAAGAGTGTGCATGTGCATGCTGCTGGTGATGTGTGTACTCTGGTATCTGAAAGTATTTGTGAGGAGAATGACCCCCATGTACAGTTGTTTGTGTTGTACCATAATATATAATAAATTTCTTTCTTTTTTTTTTTTTTTTGCTGAGCAAGATTTGCTCTGAGCTAACATCATCTGTTGCCACATTTTGTGTGTGGGCCACCACCACAGCATGGCCACTAATAGACGAGTGGTGTGGGTCTGCGCCCGGGATTCAAACCTGGGAGGCCAAAGCAGAGTGTGCCAAACTCAACCACTAGGCCACCAGGGCTGGCCCAACTTAAATTCTTTTAATTGAGAAAGGGACATCATTTGCCTATTTCTTCAAAAAATGCTGTAAGGGCAACCTGTGTCCTGAATGCTAGAATCTGAAGCTCAGAAGAAAGGTTTCAGCTAGAGATATGTGTTTGTTAGTCCTCAGCATATAGATAGTGTTCCATACATTGGAAATCAATGAGTTCACCCAGGAAGAGAAGAGAGCCCAGTTCTGACCCCTTGAGGAACTCCAGCATTGAGAGATTTGGTAGAAGAAAGGATACTAAAGATTTGTCAGAGAGGTAGCGAGCAAATAAGAGAAAGGGGTGCCACAGAATCTGAGAGGAGACCAATATAATCTGTACGTATGACTCAGAAGGCTTAGTAGGATCCTTGCAGTCTGTCCTGAAAAGTCCTTCATGGCTTATTTATATTTGCACTGTACTGATGAGACTGATACTTACCCAGCTCTTATTGCCATATACGTTTTAGGTGCTCAGAATGTGCACGAAGTACAGAATCCCAGATTAGAAAGAAAAAACATTTTTGTAGAAGATAATTCTCTACGAACTCTTATAAGTCCAAAGATGTTCTTTTGCCTCTTCTATGTGGCTTGAATAAACTTCTCCTATCAGTGAATATAGGAATATTGAAACATATTTTAAAAGAAAATTACTTGCAAATCTTCTGTTTCTTTATTACGTAAGACTTTCCTTTCAGTGTTTTGTCTCTTGTATTATTGTCAGATTAATCTTCCTAAAACATAGCTGATTATATTTTCCCTTTATTAAAAAATCTTTAATGATGTTGCATTTCATGTAAAATAAAATTTATACTTTTTCACTTGGTGGATTCCATGCCCTGCTGAATTTTGTCCCAAACAATTATTTTTTAATTTCTCCCACCACCCTCTTTAATGTATTCTGTAATCCAGCCTGACCACAGAAGTGTCTGCTGTTCTTATATACTCTTTGCTTTCCTGCCTCCTTATCTTTGCTAATGCTGTAACCTCTGCCTAAAATGCCCTTCTTCCTTCCTCTCCATATTTCAAAAAGCCTACTTATTTTCCAAGATAAATTTATTTTTTCCTTCCTCTGAAAACCTTCCTGAGCTGGAAATTGTCTCCCTTCTGAACTGATATTCTGCTTTATGTCTTTTCATATCATTTGCTTCTCCGCCTTGTATTGTTGCAGTTTATTGTACATATCTGACAGCTTCAGTTTGACTGACATCTCCTTCTGATTACCCTACAGCACTACCAGTGTAGTGCCTTTTTTATAGAAGTGGTTTAAGAGGTAAATTTTTTATCTTTCTTCAACTTCATGCCTATATTTGTGTTAATTATACTACTTTCCCATTTTTCTGTAGGATCCAATGATGCCGTTGCTCCAGACTTCCCTGCTCAAGTCCTAGGCACAAGGGATGATGACCTGACATCTGTTAACATTAAACATAAAGAGGGGATCTACAGTAAGAGGGCAGTGACTAAGGCATCCTTGTCAGTGGGGAAGAAACCCTTTCAGAAAGATAATGCAGGTAACTAAATTGGCTTTGTGTATTTTGCGGCTTTTTTTTTCTGTTCATCCAAAATGAGAATATTGTCAAGTCTTTATCTTTTTTCTGCTTTGTTACCCAAGCTTTTCTCCTAGCTATTTTGTTGGGTATATACAAGAAGGTAAAATATTTATAAAATCTTTTTAAATACTTCACAGATTTTGAAAACTGTAAACTTTATTTTCACTATGGGAAATAAAATATGTTGCAACTTTTGAAATGAAATAATATCCAGTCAAGTACGTTTTAGAGACTAAAATCTACAGAAAATCTTGATTAAATTGCCTCATGAATTTATCTGTCAGATGGTGCAAACTAATTTCTCATAGGTTGGATTCTGCAAGAAGGTATATGGCTCAGATAGTGTTTTAAAATTCTTTTTTTATTTTGCTGCCAAAATAAGATTTTGCACTTCCCTTGAGAAATCAGAATATCTAGTTGCAGTCAGCTTTCATTCCTCCATTGCAGTAATCAGCTGCCCCTGAGGCATGACTGTCCCCTGCAGAGAGGACATACATTCTCGTGTTTGCTTCAGTCCCACAAATCTCAGACCCAATCTGCTTCATTCATTCACCTTATCTGTCTGGTCACTCTGGGTATTCAAGTTTTCAGCTTTATCCTCAGGTATAGGCCCTACGGTTTTATAAAAGTTTTTAATATTTAGGGATCCATTTGATTTTTTTTCCTCTGCATCCCTGACATTGTACTTCTTTAGTTGATATGTGATAGTATTTAGTAAATGAAAATACCCGTAGCCACTGAATATTCTACATGTATAATTGCCTGTGTCATTTTGTTGCATTTACAGTTTTTTATTCCTGTGCATAGCTATTAGTCAAGTAGGTGCTACTGAACCCAGGGCAGTTTTCAAACATAGGGTGGCTCTGTGTTCCAGTTTTGGCATAGGGTTAATAACTTCATGTGATAGCATTAATGCCTTTATGAGGAAAATGAATGAAAGGCTGCTTGCTAAAGTACACATATTTATTCTTCCAGATAACTTTTTATTGTACTGAAAAACATTTTGAAGTCTGCTTATGAATGCCTTTTGAAATGAGAGAAAAGAAGCACATCTGCCAGCTAACATTGAGGTTGCCAAGTAAATAAAAAGGAAAATATTTTTGCAAAATGTAGTTCACAAATGAAAACCCTCATGCCCTAGGGAATCCCTTACCTGTATGCCACTAACTACATGCTAGTGGCAATTTGGTAGACATAGGTAACCCTGTGATCCCACTGTCAGACACTTGAAGAGAGGGTTGATATGGAAAAATTGGCAGGGAACAAAGTGATAGACTAAGGGAACTCCATCAGAAGTCTGCACAAAGAACTCACCATCTAAAACTCACCCCTGGGCTGCATTTGGTAATTATCACGTGTTTGAAATAAAGTCAGGCTCTGTTACCTGAAGGACCCCCATAACCTTCCATCTGTTATGGGGGTCTACTGTTACTGTTACTGTCGTTACGTTGTAATATTGTAAAATTGTAATAATATTGTAAAAGTTGTTACCAAATTTTACTTCTAAGGAAAAGCCCTCTTTCTGGCTTAATCCTACGTGGTCATTTCACCCTGAGAGAAGCCCAGCCTCAGAACCTGTCTTAAAGTATTAAAAAGGATAGAGGTGAGGATGCCTGCCTAGGGAAACCAAATAATAACCCAATACATAATAGCTAAATGAGCCCATAAAGTATGTGAAATAAAAATCTCAGTGGAAGGATTGGAATATAAAATCTCTTAGAAAATAGAACATAAAAAGAAGGGAAAGGAAAGAAAATAAGAAAATTCAAGGGGCCAGCCCGGTGGCACAAGCGGTTAAGTGCGCGCGCTCCACTGCAGTGGCCTGGGGTTCGCTGGTTCGGATCCTGAGCAGGCACCGATGCACCGTTTGTCAAGCCATGCTGTGGCGGCATCCTGTATAAAGTGGAGGAAGATGGGCATGGATGTTAGCCCAGGGCTGATCTTCCTCACAAAAAAAAAAAAAGAAAAAGAAAAAGAAAATTCAAGACTGGCCCAAAAGCTTCAACATCAAAAATCAGGTGTTCCATAGAGACAACAGAGAAGATAGAAAAGAAGGAATCAAAGGACTAGTATAGGAATAAATCCCAGAACTGAAGGATATGAATTTCTATATTAAAAGGAACTGTCATGTACATAAAAAATCCACACCAAGGCACATGACCTTGAAATTTCAAAGCGCTGGGAAGAAAAGAGATTCTTAAAGCTTCCAAAAAGAAAACAGGTCCCATATAAAGAAATAGAAATCAGACTGACATCAAGCTTTTCAAAAGCAGTACATGGTGCTAGAACCAAAGGAGTAATGCCTTGAAATTCTGAGGGAAAATTATTTCACTGAAACAAGAGAGTAGATTTACATTTTTTTAAAAAAAGGAAAACATAGGATTGAGGAAATGGGGCCAACACAGGGGAGAGGGGAAAGGAATTCCCATTGCAACAGTGGTACAGAAGATCTAGAACAAATTCAGATTGAGGACTGCAAGAAAAAAGTCAATTAGTAGAATACTTTATGTAGTAGACTATATTTAGAAGAGGGTTTCACTTCTCTTTACATCTATAAGGATAAAGTAGGGATTGGTACATAGAAACTTAGCAAATGCAAAAATAAGGCAATTAGTAACTCTTCAGGAAAAGCAAAAGTTTGTAAAAGAAAATAAATGTGATCAAAATATACTGGTTGGCTTAACTGTAAATAATAGAAACATGACACAATCATATAAACACTGAATATTGATTTAACTGATTATTGATTTAATCACTGTGGCAACTATTTACATAACATATAAACACTGAATATTAATATAGGGCTAAAACTTTTCAGAAGATTGGATGAGGGGATATGTGTGTGACAGGAGAGTTTTTGTAAAAAATAAATCCATTGATCAAAGATAGAAATCAATAGATAATTTCTGGAACTAAAAAGGATACGGCAATGTAAAGCATGTTATTTGGAAATAAGGATATCGATACCAGAAGAAACAGCTAAAGGAATTGGTGGCATTTAAAAACTGAGGATTTGAGTGAGATGGGTCAGGGAATTGCTAATTTCTGTTTAAGTCTCATGAAACGATTTGACTTTAAAAACCATGTGTAGGGGGCCGGCCTGGTGGCGTAGTGGTTAAGTTCGTGTGCTCTGCAGGTTCAGATCCTGGGTGTGAACCTACACACTGCTAATCCGGCTGCGCTGAGGCGGCATCCAACGTACAGAAAAATAGAGGAAGATGGGCACAGATGTTAGCTCTCAGCCAATCTTCCTCAGCAAAAAAAGGAAGACAGGCAACAGATGTTAACTCAGGACAATCTTCCTCGTCAAAAAAATAAATAAATAAATAAAAACCATGTGTATATGTTACTTTGATTAAATTACAATTTATTTGTCACCTCTCCGAAAAGTAAAAAGATGGAAAAAGATATATTTGGCAAATATTAACCAAAGAAAAGCTAATGAGTGATGTTAATATTGACAAAATAGAATTCAAAGCCAAAAAATATTAATATAGATAAAACAGTTTACCTCACAGTAACAAAAGGATCAAATGCACCCCAAGATAAAATTATGAGCTTATTCGCATATACTCAAACTTATATGCAGGAAAAATGACAGGACTATATAGGTAAATTGAACACACATATCTGTCGGAAACTGAGAGACCAGGAAATAAAAATAATGTTAGAGAAGATTTGACCAACAAATTATAAAAGTTTGACTTTTTATAGAGAACTTTGCAATTTTTAAACACACAGAACACTGAGAAAAATTGATAAAATTGTTTGTTTCAAAGTATTGATTTTCAAACTGATCAGCTTCTCTGACCACAGTGTAGCCAAATTAGAACTCAACAATAAGAATATAAAATAACAAAATGAAACAAAAATCCATGTGTAATGGGTTGAATAGTGTACCCCCAAAATTCGCGTCCACTCGGAACTTCAGAATGTGACCTTATTTGGAAATAGAGTCTTTGCAGATGTACTTAGTTGAGGATCTCCAAACTAAATCATCCTGGATTAGGGTGGGCCTTAAATCCAGTGACTGGTGTACTTATAAAAACAGGAGAGGAGGCCATGTGAAGACAGAAGCAGAGATTGGAGTTAAGCTGCCCCAAGCCGGGAAACACCAGGGGTCATTAGAAGAGGGAAGAGACAAGGGAGGATTTTCCCCCAGAGCCTTTTGAGGGAGCATGGCCCTGCTGACACCTTGGTTTAAGATTTCTAGCCTCCAGATGTGTGAGAGAATAAATTTATTTTGTTTTAAGCTGCCCAGTTTGCAGTAATTTGTTATGGCAGCCCTAGGAAGCTAATATACCATCCACATATTCAAAAATTCAAAAATATAATTTTAAGTAACACAGAAGTTAAAGTCATATTGGAAGTTATAACATATTTAAAACTAAATAATAACAAAGTTATTATGTCAAAATTTATAGTAGATAGCCAAAGTGATATTTAGTGGTAAAGTTATACCCTTAAATATAAACAATAAAAAGTAAGAAAGATCCAATGAAAATTCCAGCAGGTTTTTTTCCCAGAAGTTAGCAAGCTTATTGTAAAATTGATAGGGAAATACAGAATGCCAAGTATAGCCAAGGCAATCTTGAAAAAGAACAACTCTAGAGGATTTACACTATCAGACATCAAGATTTATTATAAAGCCATAGTAACTAAGACGGTGTGGTAACAGACTGACTATAGAAGAGAATATTCTAGAAACAGATTCACACATATATGGACACCTGATTTATGGAAAAAGTACCACTGCAATAGAGTGGGGGAAAGGATGATCTTTTCAGTAAAATGATGCTACGTAAATTGGATATTCATATTAGAAGTAAAAAAGTGTTGACCCCCTACCTCATACTATACACCAAAATCAATTCCATATGCATTGTAGATCTAAATATGAAAGGCATAGATAGATAGATAGATAGATAGATAGATAGATAGATAGATCAATCTTCTATATAAGAAACTACAGAGGAATATGTCTTCATAATTTTAGAATAGGAAAGATTCATTAAATTGGATCCCCTCCCCCCAAAATACTCCACAGTGGCCGTACAGGAAAATATTGACAAACATGGCACATTAAATTAAGAAATTGTATTAATTATGAACACCAAAAAAGAGAGTAAAAGGCAAGCCACAGAGTGGGGAAGATATTTGCAGTACATACATCTCACAAAGGACTTATGTCCAGAATATAAAAAGAACTCTTAAAAATCAATATGAAAAAGGTAGTCAGCCCAATTAAAAAATGAGCAAAAGACTTGAATAGGTACTTTATAAAAGATAATATCCAGTAGCCTGTGAACATATGCAAAATATTCAACTTAATTAATTAGTAGGGAAATGTAAATTAAAACCACAATAAGATATCTCTGCATACCCACTGGAATAGCAGAAATGAAAAAGATAATACTATGTTGGTAAGAATGTAGAGCAAGCAGTACTCATTCACTGCTGGTGAGAATGTAAATTGGTAAAGTGACTTTGGAAAGCAGTTTGCTGTTATCTCCTAAGTTACACACAAGCATAACCTATAACCTACCAGTTCTGCTTCTGACTATCTACTCAACGGAAAAGGATGTACACGAGCACCAAGAGACACACACAAATATTTTTTACAGCAGTATTTGTAATAGCTCCAAACTGGAAACTACTCAGATGCCCATTATTTTTCCAGTAGAATGGATAAATTGGGGCGTATTAACATTAGTGAATACTAACGAGAATGAGAATGAATGAAGGATAAATATATGTTACAGCACTTAATGAATCTTACAAATATAATGTTACAGCACTTAATGAATCTTACAAAAAAAGAGAAGAAAGCAAGACATAAAAGAGTATGTGCTATTATTCCATTTATATAACGTTCATAAATATTCGTAACTAATTTGTTGTATTTAAAATCAGGTTAGTGTTACCCTCAGCCTAGTGGAGATTGGAAGAAAGAAGGAAGGAGCATATAGGCTTCTAGCTAGATTTTATTTTTGACCTGGGTACATGTTCACTTTTTGACAACTCACTGAGCTCTATGTTTATGCATTTTTTTGTACATGTTTTCTGCTACGTAGTAAAAAAATATTTTTTTAAAAAACAAAAAATAAGATACTTAGAAATGAATCTAACCAAGGACATGCAAGACTATTGTAGAGAAAATTATAAAGCTTCATTGAAATATGTTAAAGAAGACCTAAATATTAGAGTGATATACAATACTAATAATATATTAAAGATGTCAATTCTCACCAAATTAATTTCTAAATTCAATGCATTGCTGCTCAAAATTCCAGTAGAATTTTTCATGGAACTTGACGGGCTGATTTTAAAATTTTTATGGGAAATCAAAAGTATATTTAAAGAATAAGGTAAGGGAACTTGCCATACCAGACATTACGACTTATTTTGTATGTAGCTTATTTAAGACATCATTTGCAAAGGAATAAGCAAAGAAAAATAATATGTAAATAATCCAGTTCAGAATGGAACAGAATGGTGACCCAGAAACATACCCATCAATGTGAAAAATTAATATATGACAGAGATGGCATTAATAATCCATGGAGAACGGATGAACTATTCAGTAGTGTTGGGGCCACTGATTATATATGTAGGAAAAAATAAAATCAAAGATTCCTACTGCATACTAAACAAAAATGTAATCCATATTAATGTAAATGGAAGACTTGGAAACTTTTAGAATTTAGATGACTATTCTTATGACCATGAGATAATGAAGAATTTCTTAAACAAGACACACAAAGCACAGCCCATAAAGGAAAAAGAAAATAAATGTGATATTATTAAAATGAAAATATTTGTGCATCAAAAGACATCCTAAATAATTAAAAGACAAGACAGACTGAGAGAAGATACTTGCAACTCACACAGCCTGCAAAGAAATTTTACAGTAATGTTCGCTGTAATGCTTTTTAATATTAAAAAATTGGAAATAGCTTAAAGTTGGATCAACAGGTGAACTGATAGATTAATTCAATAGAATACTACATAACCTTGAGAATCAGTTAATTAGAGCCACATATTTTAATACGAGTAAGTCCCCAAATCATAATACTGAGTGAAAAAGGCTTGTTGCTTAAAGGTACAAGAGTTTATACCTTTTATGTAAAGTTTAAAGACATGCAAAACAATTCTGTGCATTGTTAATTAATACATGCAATATAGTAAAAAATTCAAAAACATCCTTGAGATTGATAAACTCAAAGTTCAGTATAAAGGTTGCTACTGAAAAGAGAGAATGGCATCATTGAGGCTTTACACAGGGAATCATGTCCATAACGCTTTATTTCTTAAGCTCTGTGATAGACACATTGGTGTTCACTATGTTATGTTTTTAGTAATCTCTATTGCCTTTCTGATTTCTTTGTTGAAAAATATTCATACTTAGAGATAGGAAATGAATCTCTTGTCTACCCGTTGTCAAAATATATAACCATTATTAACTGTTTGATGACCATTATCCTAGTTGTTGTATTGGTAATTTTTAATGTATTTACTAATGTACCGTTTTGCACCTGAGTTTTCTTATATGATAAAAAAGAAAAGAGCTGATTAAAAAATACCAGTAAGATAGGTAAATCTCTAGCAAGTATGACCAAGAAAAACAGAAAGGAAATAGAAAGTATTAGACAAGCTTAAAAGGATGGATATAACTTCAGATTTTTAAAAATTATATGAGTATTATATATAAAATCTAGATGATATAGATGCTTTTCTAGAATTATATGAAATATCAAAATTGGCTTCATAAGTGATAAAAACTTTGAATAGGCCAAAGAACTTTAAAGAGTTGTTCAAATCTATTTTTTTACTTTAAAAAAGATACCTGATTAGACATTTTTTTTTACTGCTGCATCAAACCAGCAAAGAACAGATTTTATCTAAAGTGGTATTTTATTTAAACCATTGCTGTCCACAGAAAAATACAGAAAGCTTTCCAATTCATGTTATAAACTCACCATAACTGTCACAGCTTTTACATGATGAGGCCTAAGAGGTGCTTTTTTCCTAATATGAAGTTTGGGGTTTTGTTTTTGTTTTTGGCGGGGCACTGGGGGGTTACTTGCCTATTGTGTTTATCTTTCCCTTCTTTGTGGGATCAAATGATGTCATTTTTCCAGATGCCCAAGTTCAAGTTCCCATCACTGGGGATGACAACCTCTCAGACAAAAATCAGAAAAAAGAGATCTACAGTAAAAGAGCAGTGGCTGAGGCTGCCCGACCTGAAGAGAAAGAATCTTTGCAGAAAGACACTGCAGGTAGCTGAACTGGATTATTTGCATATTATTTTCTTCTGGCCTTCTAAAATGAGTATAAACAGAAGAGTATTCTCTATTCTCTTTTTGCTCTATTCAGTCATCCTCTATCTTGCTCATATGTGAAGGAGGATTTTAGCTGCAATTTTTGGTATACAGTGGCAGGTAAAATTAACATTTTTAAAGCTCTTTGAGACATTTCTGGAGAACTTTGTGAATACAGTACACAAATTAAACTCATTGCCAGAAATTTACATAATGGACTTTTTTTTTTTTTTTTGTGAGGAAGATCAGCCCTGAGCTAACATGCATGCCAATCATCTTTTTGCTGAGGAAGACCGGCTCTGAGCTAACATCTATTGCCAGTCCTCCTCTTTTTTCTCCCCAAAGCCCCAGTAGATAGCTGTATGTCATAGTTGCACATCCTTCTAGTTGCTGTATGTGGGACACGGCCTCAGCATGGCCGGAGAAGCCGTGCGTCGGTGCGCCCGGGATCCGAACCCGGGCCGCCAGTAGCGGAGCGCACGCACTTAACCGCTAAGCCACAGGGCCGGCCCCATAATGGACTTTTTAAAACTCTGCTGATAAAAAAATTCAGTGCCATGAGTTGCTGGCTCTCTAATACCATTGTTGTACATAAATGAGACTTTGTTCTTTAGGGATTCAGCTTTTTTACTTCCTAACTACCTATCCAGCTAATTTACTTCAGTGGGACTGTGCTGATTAAAAACGGCTGTGTTGAAGTTAGGATTAGTTTTTGTGCTGAGAAATGAAAACAAAAACGAAATACCATTGGCTTAAAGAAGACAGGAAATTATTTCTCTTGTAAAAATCCAGAGGTAGATATCTAGGATTGATGTACTCAAGAGTATCAGGGAGCAAAGCTCTTTCTACCCTGTTGCTCCAACATTTTTAGCCTCCATTCTCATGCTGTAGCCATCAGGCCCATATTCCAGCTAGGAGAAAGAAAAAAGGGAAGGAAAAAAGCATATTCCTTCCTTTAAATACTTCTCAAAAGTTACATGTACATTCCCCTTCCATCCTATTGACCAGACTTAGTCACATGGTCACACCAAGCTATGTTGCCAGGGAGGCTGGGAAATATAATCTTTATTCTGGTAACTATATGCCCATCTAAGTTAGGATTCTATTTTAGAGGAAAAGGAAAGTGGATTTCAGAGGACAGCAGGTAGGCTCTGGGAGCATAATTAGCCACTTCTCTTGTTTTGTGTAATGCTTTTTTCAAAAGTTATGTTGTATCTGGACAACATTTCAAAATTTTACCTCCCTGTTTTCTGTTGCTAAATGAATGTTCCAGAAACAATTTTGATCATGTTAATCTCCTGATCAAAAAGTTTTCATTGCCCTTAAGATTAAAATCTAAACTCTCTTAGCATAGTCTTTCAGAACAGTAGAATTGGCTCCCAAACAACTTTTCAAATGCTAGTTTTTACCTCTTTTCCTTATAAATTCTATAATAAAATAAACCATATACTTGCTCTATTTCTTAGATGTTCAGTTGCTTTCCTGACTCCATTCTTTTCTTATGTAGTCACCTTTACCTAAAATGCCTTTCTCTTTCCATCTCAATGTGTATCCTAGCTTAGCTGTCTGCTAACACCCAAATCAGTTGCTACTTTACTCCAGAGTTCTTCCATGATCCTCCTAGCTGGAAGTAGTTCCTCTCCTTTGAGTATTTATATGTTTTTATCTGTCTTTCTCTTATGGTGTAATTCTTGGACTTTGTATGACATCTATCTTGTACATGTTTTTTTAACTCCAGTTTAGATCAGCAGTTTCTAAACACATTTCTGATTGATCTTTTTATTTTTTCTTCAACACCAGTAACAATGCCTTTTACATAGTATGTGCTTGAGAGGTATTTTAAAATATTTTTTGTCACCTTTCTGTCTGGATACTGTGTTAATTTCCCTCTGTAAGGTTCCAGTGATGCTGCTGCTGCAGAACACTCAGCTCAACTACAAGACACAAAGGTTGAAAGCCTACCAGGCACTAAAGCCATTAAACAGAAAGAGGAGATCCCTAGTAAGAGGGAAGTTCCTAAGGAAGCCTGGTCAGAAGATAAAGAATCTTTGCAGATAAACATTGCAGGTAATGGGATTGGTCTGTGTGTGTGTGAGAGAGAGAGGGAGAGAATGCATGCCTGTGTCTTGTGGGTCCATTTCATTCTGATGAGAATATAGCCTCACAATTTAAACAGAGATCCATTTTTTTCTTTTTTTTTTTTTTTGCTTTCTTATGCAAATCACTTCAGTGCTACTTTGTCTGTGTGGATGTACATATTGATTTGTAAAATAATCATTATTTCTGGGAAAAGACATTGGCAACTTAGAAATAGGATTACAAATAAATACCTAAGGTGATAGTATTAGAAGTTAAGTATCATGTCTCACTACTGAAACAGGGGAAAATCTAAAAACTAAAGTTTTTTAAAAAAACTAAAACCTAAATGTTTAAAGGCATTTGTCTGTAACAAAGGAAAGAGCCTTAATACAAACTTAAAAAATTACAGTAAGAAAGAGCCAAGATCAAATCTATTTATGTTTACCCATGGCCCCCTTTTTCTAACACAAAAGGAAAGCATATAGGACATAAGCCATTACTACCTAGCTATCAAACTTTACCTCTTAGAGGAAGATAGAACAGTACCCAGATAAAGAAAGAGAGGAGTCAAGGAGCTGATCTATCCATATTGTATTTTGAAAATAGTCCAGGTGCTGCTGCTTAGATCAAGATAAGATAAGATGTATAAGATAAATGATTTCCACAAGGGTACCAAGACTACACAGTGGGAAAAGAACAGTCTCTTCAACAAATGGTGTTGGAAAACTGTATATCCACTTTCAAAAGAATGGAGTTAGACCACACCTTTTACTATATACAAATATTAACTCAAATATTAGATCAAAGATCTAAACCTAAGAGCTAAATTTATAAAACTCTTAGTAGAAAACAGGGGAAAAGCTTTATGACATTGGATTTGGCAATGATTTCCTGGATATGACACAAAAAGCACAAGCAGCAAAAGCAAAAATAAGTAAATTATACTACATCAAAATTAAAAACTGCATCAAAGGATACAATCAACAGAGTGGAAAGGCAGCCTATGGAATGGGAGAAAATATTTGCAAATCATGATAAGTGGTTAATATCCAGATTATATATAGAACTTCTGTTACTCAACAATAACAAAGAAACCCAGTTTAAAAAGGGGCAAAGCCCTTAAATAGACAGTTCTCCTAAGAAGATATATGAATGTCCAACAAGCTTATGAAAAGATGCTCAATGTCACTAATCATCAGAGAAAGGCAAGCAAAACCACAATGAGATACCACTTCACACCCATTAGGATGGCCACTGTCAAAAGAACAGAAAATAGGGGCTGGCCCAGTGGTGTAGTGGTTAAGTTCATGTGCTCTGCTTCGGCAGCCCAGGGTTCATATGTTTGGATCCTGGGCGTGGACCTATATACCACTCATCAAGCCATGCTGTGGCGGCATCACATGTACAAAAAGTAGAGGAAGATGGGCACAGATGTTAGCTCAGGGCCAATCTTCCTCACCAAAAAAAAAAAGAAAAAGAAACAAAATAATTGTTGGCAAGTATACAGAGAAATTGGAACCCTTGTGCACTGTTGGCAGGAATATAAAATGATGCAGCCATTATGGAAAATAGTATAAAAGTTCCTCAGAAAATTAAAAATAGAATTACCATATGATCCAGCAATCCCACTTCTGAGTATATATCCAAAAGAATTCAAAGCAGGATCTCAGAAGATATCTGCATACTCATGTTCATCTCAGCATTATTCACAATAATCAAGATATGGAAACAACCAAAATGTCAATCAACAGATGAATAGATAAAGAAAATGTGTTATATACATACAATAGAATATTATGCAGCCTTAAAAAGAAGAAAATCTTGTCACGTACTACAACATAGATGAACCTCAAGGACATTGTGCTAAGTGAAATAAGCCAGTCACAAAAGGACAAATACTGTATATTCCACTTATATGAAGTATCTAAAGTGGTCGAAATCATGGAAACATAAATTAGAAAAGTGGTTGCCAAGGGCTGGAGAAAGAGGGGAAGGAGAATTAGTGTTTAGTGGGTATACAGTTTCAGTGTTACAAGGTGAAGATGTTCTAGAGATCTGTTGTACAACAATGTGAATATACTTAACACTACTGAACTGTATGCTTAAAAATGGTTAAGATGATGGGACCGGCCCGGTGGCATAGTGGTTAAGTGTGCGCGCTCTGCTGTGGCGGCCCGGGGTTCACAGGTTCGGATCTCCGCATGCACCAACACACCACTTGTCAAGCCATGCTGTGGCAGGCGTCCCACATATAAAATAGAGAAAGGTGGGCATGGATGTCAGCCCAGGGCCAGTCTTCCTCAGCAAAAAGAAGAGGATTGGCAACAGATGTTAGCTCAGGGCTAATCTTCCTCATCCACCCCCCCAAAAAAATGTTTAAATGGTAAATTTAATGTTATGTGTTTTTTTGTTGTTTTTAGTGTTGTCAAGTCGATTCCGACTCCTAGCTTGGTATACAGCGGAGCTGAGCCTTGCCCAGTCTTTTTGCAGTGGTCTGTTGCTATTCGTAGGGTTTTCATGGCCAATTTTTTCAAAAGTGGGTGGCCAGGTCCTTCTTCCTAGTCTGGAAGCTCCATGGAAACTTGTCCACCAGCTGGGTCACCCTGCTGGTATTTGAAATACCAGTACCATAGCTTTCAGCATCACAGCAACATGCAGCTGCCACAGTACGACAACTGAAAGACGGGTGGTTTGGTTCCCAGACCGGAAAGTAAACCTGGGCCACCCTGGTAAGAGCATCAAATCTTAACTGCTATACCACCAATGTGTTTTTTACCACAATAAAGAAAAAAAGAATGTATAGGATGAAAAGGTAGAACATTGCAACTGTGCAATGGGTAGTGTAGGAGAGAGAGCTTGGAAAAGAAGGATGGAATTATGTTCTGTAAAAGTACGTTCTAAAAGACAGAAGAAAATTTTTTCTAAATATTTTACACTCTGAATAATTATAGAAGACATGAAATAAATAAAAGTTGAGATAATAATGAGATGTAAAGAGAGAGATAGGAGATGAGAAAAAAAATTGAAGAGAAAAAATTGTACCAATTAAGAGAAAAAGGAGATGAAAGCAATTGGAAAAAATAATAATTTGAGGACTGACAGTGAAAATCCAACACAATGTCTGTTGGTGTCTCTAAAGAAGATTAAAAAAATAATAAAATGTATAAGGAAATTCAACCTGCAGTTTAAAAGGACATACCAAGTCCTAGGAAAAATTGATATATAATAATCAACACCCAGACGTATGTTGGTGATAGTACTGAATTTCAAAGAAAAAGAACAAATCATATAAACATCCATGCAGAGAAAGCAGAGAGAAAATCAGCAAGGGGACAGGCAGAGGAAAGGGAGGTTAAAGGAAGTATAAGTGAACTAATTTCATCTTTAAAGTTGATAAATCAAACAATACATACATAAGTATAGAATACTAATATTATAAAAGTTACTTCTAAAAGAGTTAAAATCAAACCATAAAATATCCAAAATATTTAGAGAAATGGTAGGAGTAGCAGAGGGGGATAGAGGGAAGAAAAAAGAACACAAAGTAAATTTGTAACAAAAGAAAAAATACCATAAAATGAGAGAGTGGAGAGCATAAGACTATATAAATAAACATATATGGGATAAGTTTACCTATTAAAAAAAATTCTCAGATTAAGTTATAAAACAAACTCAGTTGCATGCTATATAGCAGACACATTGAAAATAAAACAACTTAGAGGGCCGGCCCCGTGGTTTAGCTGTTAAGTGAGCACGCTCTGCTGCTGGCGGCCTGGGTTCGGATCCCAGGCATGCACCGACTCACCACTTCTCCGGCCGTGCTGGGGCAGCGTCCCACATACAGTAACTGGAAGGATCTGCAACTGTGACATACAGCTATCTACTGGGGCTTTGGGGAAAAAAAAGGAGGAGGATTGGCAATAGATGTTAGCTCAGAGCCAGTCTTCCTCAGCAAAAAGAGGAGGATTGGCATGGATGTTAGCTCAGGGCTGATCTTCCTCACAGGAAAAAAAAAAAAAAGACATTTAAAAAGAAAGAAAAAAGAAAAAAAAAAACAGAAAGGTTGAAAGTAAAAAGAAAACTAGAGACATATCAAAAAGAAATTTGGAGGGCCGGCCCCGTGGCTTAGCGATTAAGTGCACGCGCTCCGCTGCTGGCGGCCCGGTTTTGATCCCGGGCGCGCACCGACGCACCACTTCTCCAGCCATGCTGAGGCCGTGTCCCACATACAGCAACTAGAAGGGTGTGCAACTATGACATACAACTATCTACTGGGGCTTTGGGGGAAAAAAATAAATAAATTATAAAAAAAAAAAAAGAATTTGGAGACATGATATTAATATAGATGAAATTAAATTCTACACCAAAAGTGTTGCAGTAATTAAGGAGAAATATATTTATACTGATTTTCAGTCCACAATGAGGCTATAACATAAATCTTTAAACATGAAATAACATAAAAAATAAAATGAAAACTGGGAGCACCATCAATAAGGAAGTTTATATTGCCTTAAAAAAGAATATATAGAATTGTATGAAAACAACTCATAATATATTGTTAGACAAAAGATGCTTAGGAGTGGAGAGGGAAATTTGCTTGTGGGGAAAAAAAATGCAAAACAGGCCATAAACTAACAGAAAACCCTAGGGGACCTTTGAGGAGAAATGGACAATGCGGAATAGCAGTAGGGAACTTAGATCATATGAATGAAATTAAAAAAACAAAAACAAAAAGTTAAAAAAAATCTGGGAATGATGCAAATAATGAGGTTGATCTAATAGATAGGTATAAATAAAAAAATTTTTTAAAAAAACCTTTCCAGATTCCCATAGAACATTTTTACAGACAGCTTCATTGATATATAATGCGCATATCATAGAATTCACCCATTTAAAGTGTACAGTCAAATGGTTTTTACCCTATTCACAGATATGTGTAACCATCAACACAGTTAATTTTAGAACATTTCAACACAAAAAGAAACCCT